GGACTGAACAGGACAGGGTCTCACCCTGTTTAGCTTTTCATGGTAATATTTCTCATGGGGAGAGGGCATACATGCCAGATCATGTGGGCACACAGAAAAGACTGGGTAAGCCGGGAGACACAGTAAGAGGAATAGATTGGCAAGAGCCTTTAGTGTGGTTTCTGTAAGAAGGTGATGGTCAAGGCTGGTGAGCAGGCTAGGGTGAATAATGTCTGCAGGCTATGGAGCATAGGATGTGGTCCTGGGATTCTCCTATCTGCTCTTAGGGTTATTGCGCAAAGGAATAATGACCTCTAGTGGGACCTCCATCAATGAGGTGATGGCAAGTGCGTCATATCATGGCTGGCTGGTACTTGAAGGACTCATGCCCATGCAAGCCTTGGTTATCTGCAGGGTTAGTTAGCCTTAGGAGGGATGCTATCTGCAGAGACAGCAAGACCCAAATGTCAAAACATCAGAACATGGAAAATAAAATACAAGGTTATTGTTCATCCTTAAGGGAAACACGCTGCAGTGGGTTCAGAAGGCAAGGAAGCTGAAATGGGAACAAAGACTCAGACCTCGGCCGGCCGCTCAGCAGTAAGAGGAGGGGTCAGACTGTGAGATGACAGACGGGAAAAGATGCCAAGAAAGAAGCAGCTGCTTTCAAAGGAGAAGGAAAGAGTGGCTGAGGATGCAAACCCCAAGTAGCTCTGAGGGAGGCACAGGTGTTGGGCTTGGGGGCTAGCATGGAAGCATGATAAGGACCATCTGGTTGCCTGGGAGACCCTAGGCTGAAAGCAATAGCACGATGCAGGTTCTGGACCAGCAGCAAGTCTCTGCCCCACATCCCAGGGGATGCTGGTGATAGTTGGAGACATTTTTGATTGTCACACCTTGGAGATGAGGAAGAAGTCTACTGTTAGAAGGCAGTAGACAGAAGTCAAGTGTGGAGCTGGGCATGGTGGCACGCGCCTGTAATCCCAACAGAGACTGAAGCAGAGGCAAATGGGTCTCTGTGAGTTCAAGGCCAGCCGGGTCTACATAGTGAGTCTCAGGACAGCCAAAGATACATAGTGAGACTTTGTCTCAAAAAAAAAAAAAAGTCGGGGATGTAATATAGAGATAGCTGTCTCATTCCTAGCCTCACAAACAAAGAGCTGTCCTGCCAGAATGTCAGGAGTGTTGAGAATAGGGAGCCCTGAGTTAGAGGAAGGATTGATAAGGAAAGTACAGGGATTTGATAGTCAAAGTCTGCAGGATGCCATGTTCTCTGGGACCTAGCCTGAGGTAGAAAAGGAGAAAGGCTGGGAGCTGGTGTTGGTGAAGTGTTTGGCCCCTCTGAATCTATCCATCAGGGGCTGGGAAGAGAGGAGGGAGATGTTGGTCTAAGGCACAAAGACCAGTGAGGCGATTTGAAGCTGTTTTGTAGCACAGTGACCACAGCTAATAGCACAAGTAGCCAAGCACAGTGTCTCACACCTATAGTCCCAGCTCTTCAGGAGGCCCATGCAGAAGGATGGCAAATCCAAATCCACCTGGGCAACATGGCGGGACTTTGCTCGAATAATTATAATAACAACAACGATAACGTATTCTTGAAAACTGCTATCATGTTGGTCTGCTGTGTTCCTATGACAACAAAAAAGACAATAAGGTAATAGGCATGGGAATTATCTTAATCATTTCACAATGTATGCATGTATGCATATATACATATGTATGTATACATATATCAAGGCATCACAATGGGCATGATGGACACACTGTCTTCAGTAATTGACTGTAGGACTCTCCCACGGCTACTAAATTCCACAAGTGCTCGAGTCCTTTATATAAAGTGGTGCAGTATTTGCCTGTGACCTATGCACATCCTTTCTTATACTTTGGATTTGTTACTGCTAATTTCTAATACACTCTAAGGGCTATGGTGTAGTGTTTGGGTACCAACAATAAAAATGTCTGTTCAGTAAGCACAAAGTAAACACAAATTTTTTTTCTTTTCTTTCTTTCTTTTTTTGAGACAGGGTTTCTCTGTGTAACAGTCCTGGAACTCACTCTGTAAACCAGGCCCCTTTCGAACTCAGAGATCTACTTGCCTCTGCCTCCTGAGTGCTGGCATGTGCCACCACCACCTGTCTGACACAAAAGTTTTCAGGAATTTTTTTTATCCTAAATTTGTTGAATCCACAGCGCTCTCTCTCTCTCTCTCTCTCTCTCTCTCTCTCTCTCTCTCTCTCTGTGTGTGTGTGTGTGTGTGTGTGTGTGTGTGTGTGTGTGTGTGTAAAATGAAGAATCCTTGCGGTATCCTGTACTTCGTGAGGGCGGGAACTGGGGAACTGTATGTGTTCAGCATTGCAAGCAACCCAGCTATGATGTTATTCAAATATTTTTGTTGAATGAATAATTTTTAAAAGTTAAATCAGATGCAGCCTTCACCTCACCCGGAGCCCTTGTAAGTTTGATGGAAGCCCCCGTGAGCTGGGTCTGCCTTTTAAATAATCAGCGTTTTAGATTCTGATGAAGGCAGAGCATTCTCCGGAATCTATTATCTCATCTTATCTATCTCTATTATCTCATCTTACTCTCACACATACTCCTGGGCCCTCATCAAACAGTTCATAAATACACTGCCATTTTTTTAACCCATTTCTCGCCTTTCTTTTGTTGGCATTTTCATATGTGGGTACAATATGTTCTCTGTTCCCTGGTCGACTCCTGGTGGACCCCGCCTGCCACGTGTCCTTCCAAATTCATGTTTGCTTTTCCTTCTAGGCATTTTCCTCTTTTGTCTGGTCATTCCCAGAGGGAGATGCAAGTATCCCCACTATTCCTCATGGTGATGTGAGATGATCTGAGGAGTTCTTCAGATAAATACTTTCCTAGCAATGGTTCTGTGGGTTTTGTGAATAAGCACATGGCTCCAACTTCATACCTCTGGTTCTTGGGTGGTCTTGTTTAGGACAAAGGTGCATTTTCAAAGATGAATCCATTTTAAAATTTAAATAAATGGTACCCTTGATGACAAAGGAAATTGGTTATAGAGATATAAGAATCACTGGTTTGGGAAACATTTGCATGCTGGTCAATGTTTTGTCAACTTAATACGAACCAGAGTCCCCAGGAAGAAGGGACATCGATTGAAAAGAGCCTCCATCAGACTGATCTGTGGGCAAGCTTGTGGTACATTTTTTGATTAATACATAAGAAAGCAGACTGAGCAAGCCAGTAGGCAGAGTTCCTCCATGGCCTCTGCTTCAGTTCCTGCCTTGACTTACCTGGGAGCTGTAAGAAGAAATAAATCTTTTTTCCCATCTTTGTTGGTTTGGGCTAATGTTTTGTCTCAGCGACAGGATGTGAACTAGGATAACCAGCTAAACCCATTTAAAGTTCGCTTTGCTATCCACAGGAAGGTGCTTGTTATTTCTTCCAAGATTGTTAGTCAATTATTCCAAACCATTTACTTAATTTCCCTTTGAAAAATGCTTTAAAAATCATGTATCAGTTCTTATGCACGTGGTATTGCTAGACAATCTCTTTAGTTTCATTAACCTTTTGCTAGTCTGGAACTATTACTGCACTTTAAATATCACGTTCGACTTACTAACCAGCCCAGCAGCTCGTCCGTCCCTCGAGGACAGCTGCTTGGATGGCTAGGATCTGAGAGAGAGGTGCGCGTGGACAGTGATAGTGGGGACGCCACACCGAAAGAAGCCCTTAGGGTCAACCCTAAGACTGTGGTTCAGAACTGGGACCCGTGAGGTGTTCAGAATCCCAGTCAGAAGGTCAAGAGCTTTGCCTTCCGAAGAGAATGGAAAGACTATAAAACCAGATAAATTAAGTATTAGACAATAAATGAGAGTTAAGTGTGATGTTACTCTGTGTCATAAAGAACTAGGCTTGGAGGGGTAAAACTCAATGGTGGCGACATCCTAGAGACCTCATGCCAACTCCAATTGTTTGACTATGAAACAGAAGACTAAATGACTATTAGTCAGGAATGTTGAAACTGTATTTCAACAGATCAGAAAAAAACCATCTCTCTATATATATGCATATATATATATGTATGTATGTATGTATATACATGCAGATGCACATATGATGATATCTGTATAAATCCAGTGTGCTGCTTTGCTATAACTTCTTCCCAAAGACTTCTCACTTAATGACAGTTTGCCCCAATACACAGCTTCCCCAGGGATGTTCATTGTTTCTTTGCTGTATACTAACCCCTTCTTTGAAGGGTTCAGTAGAACTTTAACACACAAGTAAAATTCAAAATACCTTCTTGTTCGCATTGCCTATAAATCGGGGGGGGGCATTTTTAATAAAGAAAAATAGTTAGCCTTGCGTATGAAGTTTCTATGGCACAGCACAGAGTGGGGCGCCAAGAGCATGCACTCAGGTTTTACCTAAAGTCTTGAGCTTTTCAAGAGCCTGTTCCCCAGGACAAAGGACCCCCTTCATCGCCCACCTGCCTCCTGTCCCATCCATGCTACACCAATAACAGTGTGCATCCTGCCACGAAAAAATAGACCACTGCCGCGTTTGGTTAGAGGCACTGCCGAGTTAGTGCTGCTGCCTCTGTTGGATTTCCGGTGGCTTCTGTTTCTGGTGAATGTGAGAAAAAACATCTCATAACCCGTGAATGAAAGCAAGGGATGATGAGAGTGAGCACAGCTGGGTTAGCTGGTGCCAATGCCACATTGTGCTGAATCATGTCATCACACGGATTAGTCAAGGGAGACGTCTCCAAAGCAGTCTCTCACCAATCTCAAATGGGTGTCTCAGTTGGTCGCATTCATCTGGGAGATGGGAGGCTCTGAGAGACCCAAATATCCCATCAGATTCCTGGGCTATGGCAGAGAACAAGACATGGCCCATTATGAAAAGTCCAGAGTCAGATGTTGTCATCTTTCTGTGGTCCCCCAGGTGAGCTCTGGGGTCTCCTGGTGATTGAAGAGGGCTTTGCAAGGAAGAGCTGTGCTGATAAATAATGCATTTCCTTTGTCTTGCAGGAATTCTGGAGGCAGAGGTACAATCAGATCAGCTGTGAACAGCTTACATAGCAAATCTAATAGGTTTGTAAATTAGATTTTGTGTTCATTTGTTTTTGCTGTAAGGCAGCTATTAATCTGCCTCTCCTCTTTGCTGGGTGGTGCTCTTCTTACTTAGCAAATAGATCTGTTTCATTTCACTTTGGTTTTGCATTTCCTTAATCACTTTCGAGGGGAGCTGTCAGTGGGAGATCATGAAATGGTCCATGGGGCTAGAGAGGCTACAGAGATGGAAAACACAGGTGGGCACAAGTTACCTTCTGGCAAAGAGCCCACCTACTTCGTTGAGCTTGAACTCCTACCAACTTCCTTAGAACCCGCATTTTTGCTGAGCAGTGGAGCCCCGGAAGCAAGCCAGGACTTTAATCCAATTTCACTGTAGTTGATGACTTGTCTGGGAGGTTGAGATGGGGATAAAGCATTTAAGAACTTTGCTGAGACATCTTAAAATACGTAGGAAGTCAACTAAGTAATGTTAACTCTAATTGTGGGATTGTGGTCTCAATTCTGGAAGCACACTCTTAACACTGTGGGACTGGAAGTCTTTGGGACAGTCCCCAGCTGGTAGGGAGACTGGTGCAGGGAACTGTGCAAACACTCTGCAAGGCATGCTGCAGATACTTCGCGCTTCCCCTTCTCCGTTCTCCACAAAAGGATGAGTACACCGCCGCTCGGACCTCTGTCTCAAAACCCACATATAAGGAGCCAAGATGCTTGCCATGAACAGAGGCTACTGTTCAAACTGAAGTTCTTGTGGTACTTCCTCCACGTCCTGGTTTGCTGCTGTTGGGATTGAGAGGTTCACAACAGCCAGAGGCCGCCACACTCAGTTTCATTATTTACTCTTCCGTGGTATTTTTAGGTCTTTTTTTTTGACCGTACCCGGCCTATAAAGTATGTTTGATCTTGACCTTGTGTAACTGGCGTGAGAAACTGTTTCCTCTATCCTTGCCCTCACCGCCTCTACAGTGCCAGCGGCCTCGACCCTATGGCATTTCAAACGAAGTGAATCTTTTGGCTAGCATGCAAATAACGGCAGAAATAAAGAAAGTCACATGCCCTACACTTCTCTCTGTTCCCCCTTTTGGAGAAAGGCGACCCTGTCCCCAAGACCCAGGTCTCCATGGTAACTTGAAGAGGCACTGTCAGACTGAGTCTGAGAACTAGGCAGAAACCAGGCAGCCCTGGATTCAAACCCTGGGTTCTCTAGGTAGGGCTTCGGGCAAACACATTCACCTTTCAAACACCGATAAAGCAGCAGCTTTGAACTACTGACGCTAAGGCTCTACATAGCCGATCTTCTGAGATGACTAAGACATTCAGTAGATGTTTGCTGCTGTCATTGGACGTACTGATAGCCTCGAAGATTGGTGACTGAGGGCAAAGTTCAAGAGTTGAAAGTGAAGCAACTCATATCCAAAAATGTACCTGTAGCGTTTGGGAGACAAAAGAAGGATCCTGGGACCTGACGGGCACATTCACAGAAGACAATAAATCTCCCTCAGTAGTCCAGCTGGGTTTGGATAGTGCAGAATATCTGATAGCTGTAAACAGTGGCCGTCCCTGAGGATAGCTAAGCTGCCCCCTTTATTGCCTAGAAATGAAGGTGGAGGCCAGGAGCCTGAAGCGACCTTTTCATGCCCTCTAGCCAGATAGTCACAGAGCCAGGGTTGAAGTTCAGCACCAAGGATGTCTATACAAGATTCCCCTGTCAGCTAGGAACCAGGATCAGAATGACATGTTACCATTATCAGTGCCTGGATCCTTCTTTTACCACCTTGTGCCCAGGAGAAGCCTGGAGACCCCACCTAGAGATTTCCGAGCAGGTCCCCATTACAAGCCTCCGTGAGTCCAGAGTTCTACAGATGCTTTCTTCCTGAGCATGCCTGACGCCATGCAAAATGTCCAGTTTTTAGGGAGCATCATCACCAGGTACCAAATCCACCTAAAACTACAAGATGGCAGCCATGATGCTCTTAAGAAGACCATGTCCCATCTCAAACAGTAAACTATTTCCTTACTAATGGAAGTTGCCGTGAATATTGGAGGCCTTAGAATGTGATCACTGTACTCGTGGTCCTGAGTTTACTGCTCTTGCCTCTAGACACACATAAGGAGGCAGTAAGTACAAGGGCTGGAAAGATAGCTCAGTGGGGAGAGTGTTTGCTGAGCAAGTCTGGGGAGATGCATTTAATCTGAAGAACCTATATTAAACAAAATCAAAATTAAAGCCAGGTGCAGAGGTGTGCACCTGTAATCTTAGCACTTGGAAGGCAGACAGGTAAGCCTCTGGAGCAGCTGGCTAGACAGTCCAGACAAACTGGGAACTCCAAGTTCAGTGAGAGACACCACCTCAAAAAATAAGATGGGCCAGATGGTAATGTCACAAGCTTTTAATTCTAAGCACTCAGGAGGCAGAGACAGGTGGATCTCTGTGAGTTTGAAGTCAGCCTGGTCTACAGAGCAAGTTCCAGGACAGGTTCCAAAGCTACAGATACCTTGTCTTAAAAACCCAAAATAATAATGATAATAATAATAATAATAATAATAATAGGAGAATAATTGAGAAAGAAACCTGACATGCTACACACAGAGAAAGAGAGAGAGCCAGAGAGAGGGAACAGTACTAGAGAGGATGCAGCCATACCAGCCTCCCTGGACCCCTGAGAGGTGGTAGGAAACATAGCCATCCTCTAAGGACTCTAGAACCTCAGAGCCTGGTGTGTTCCTCTTAGCTCCCTTCTTTCTGTAAATACTTAGACTGTGGCTTGGAGAGGTTAGGCGATTTGCCCACAGATGCCCAGACTGTGAAATACCTACACAATACATTCCGCTTCCTTCCATGAAACCATAACAATTCCAAAGTTTGGACTTTCTGTTCTCTTCCATAAGATCCCTTAAGCCCCTCTGATAGATAGTTGCCTGCTCTATCCCCTGCAAAGCTACAAGACAAGTGCTGAGAGCCAGAGGGATACAGAAGGATGGAGGTGGGCAGATGCGGCGAGGGTGCCATACAGGACAGGCCCCCTGAAAAGAATTTCTTCTCTGCCTGCGAAAAGCAAAACAGAGTATTGAGTTCAGGCTTCACTAACAGGATTTGGTCTTTCTGAACTTGGCTGTTCCAAGATAAATGTAGAGGACAGAGGTGTCTGGTTTGAACTCTCAAAAGCTCTAGAATCCAGCCTTACAAACCCACTTATCATTCTAGCCAAGAGAAAGTGCTGCCGGCTAGACAAAAGGAACTTGGGACGTGACCCACATATATCTGTGTGTGTTGGCAGGAGGCAGGCTGACTCCTAGACTGCCTTCAAAGCCATCAGTGGAGCCTGGTTTCTTAGAAACCTACTAGCATAGATTTCAAGTATCTGCGTTCAAAAGCCCTCCCGTGCCTGCTGTCCCTGAGTTGGACAGGAAGATGGTTTATATCCAGCCTACGGATCTGCCTCAGGAATACAAAACCAGCCAGCTCCTTCCTCCACACCAGGCTTCTCAGGACCAAGTTCAAAGTCAAATTCAACAGGTGGTTACTTATAGGACACCTGCTATGTTAAACCGTTATGAAATGGAGACATAGGAGAAAAATCCCACACTTGGAGCCTGGTAAGACAGGCAGATAGAAGACTAATAATCTGATCACAGATGGGTATTTTTTTCTATGAGCAATGAAAGGGGGGCACGATGAGATGGCACAGTAATCAAAGAGACACTCCACAAAGGCTGATAATCTGAGCTTAACTCCCAGAACCCACATAACAGAAAAAGAGAATGAACTCTTGCCAGTTGTTCTGACTCCCCCACACGCATGCACACACATGCACACATGTGTACACACACACATGTACACGCGCACATGTGCACACACACACACCACACATACAAACACAAATGTATTTGAAAAGGTTTTACAAAGAAGAAAATGAGAGGAATGAGGGAAGGAGGGCGGAGCCACAGGCTCTAAGGACATTGTCCTGCGTGGGGTTTAGCTATCTCTTAACGTTTGCGGGCCACCACGTAACAGCTGGCACCTTGCTCTTGTGGACACTCCTCTCTGTACTGAGAAGGGAACCTGCACTGTCCTGGCAGAGACTTCAGGTTCCCCCTGGAAGGTCAGAGATGGGAGGAGGGAAGAGGAGTTGCAGGGCCCCCACTTCCTGCTTCTAAGAACCAATGTCTGCAGGCTATTCCTGAGGGAGCAAGTTCGTGCATTCTCCAAGATAAATAGACTTCCCTTCTCAAGTAATAACTGCAATTTCGCTCTTGTGAAGTTTACATTCAAGCCCGTGCGAAAACAAAGCTATTAGACTTGTCATGGGCAGGCTCACAGATCATGTCTACCTTCGTGGTTTTTTTTCCCCCTTTCCAGAGCTGAGGTCGTAATAAATGGGTCTTCATTGCCAGCTGTTGTTGACAGAAGTAATGAAAGCATTAAACACGGCATCCAGCCGGCTTCATCCAAATGGAGACACAACCAGACGCTCTCTCTGAGGATCAGGTATGGGTCATTACCTACAGGACAAGGGGGGGGGGGGCAGACCTGGCTTTCTGTACCATGAGTCACCAAACTGCAACTCTCTGTTATCTAAAGAAGCCAGGATAGAAATGAATGTTTTCCTCCTGAGGAAGCAGGTTCCATCTATTAAATGACAATTAGAAATCAAAATCTGGGACAAGCCCAGCCACCTGACCCATGTGGATATGCAGCCATGTGGGCAAGGGGAGGTGGTCTGTGTGACCAGCCCCCTAGGGTCATCAGTTTAAGTCAGGAGCTCTGCTTCTGGGCAGTGCAGGCCACAGGTATCTTTCTCTGGCATAAAGAGTTGTTTCTTGTTTGCCTTTACCTGGTACTTATGTCCTGAATCTGTGACAGTCCTTCACCTTGTCTGCCACCTCCCATGGCCCTTAAAGAATGAAAGACTGTCTCCCTACTTCCACCCACATGAAAACACAGAGCTATAGCTGAGGGACACAGAATTGATCTGGCATCTGGTCGACCTCTAAGAGACTGATCTGTCTAAGTCAGAGATAAGTCTTTGTCCTGGCCTTGGCACCCTCAGACAACAGTCATCCTCGGGTGGTGGACATGGAGAAAATGATGACTTTGGTGCTTGGGACTTTGGCTCAGATGCAGTCATGACTGACCCATCCAATGTTCATTTCCAAGCACTGACCTGTGGCCCATAACTAGGCAAGTTAGGCAGAAAAATACAAAAATAAGCAGAGACAGGACAACATGGTAGGATGTTCACACCAGACGGTGCTATATCTTGCAAAGAGATAAAGCTAAGGAGATTGTACTGAAGGGAGCCATTCATTTTCTAAGGGATCCAAGAAGGCTACTAGGTAAGGCTGGCCTATGTTTTGAAGGGTAAGTGGGAGTTTATCAGGTGCGCCATGCACATCCTGAATGCACACATTCTGAATATGTGATTTGTGACCAGGGCTGAAAGAGCACTGAACAGAAGACAGGGAATGGGGAATGGGAATGAGGCAGCCAGGACCAGGTAAGGAAAGGTTTGATTCCCCAGGCTATCAGTTTGTCGTCCCAGCCCAGATTTGGTTGTTCTAGAGCTAAGGATACTCTCAGATAGTTATGCAAGAAAGGTGAAGGACCACATACATACACTATCACACAAAACAGGGAGTTGCCTCCTTCAGTGACTCTACCCCATAGTTCTAGATGCTTCATGGGGAGAAAAAAAGGGTGTGGGACTAAAAAGCGTTTGCCATCTGGGAGCCCGACAACTGAGAGGCCCCCTGGAGGAGCTGCCACCAGGCCATCTTTCTCAGTACCTCTTTTGGGGTTACCTAAGCGAGACCCATCCCTGTTGCACTGTCCTGACAGTCATGTCCTTTCCTTTGTGTACCATGGAGCTAACAGAGCAGCAACCCCCACCAACCTAAGGCTAGATGGTTCTAGAAGTCGCAGTTCTGAGTGCTGTCCCAGCAGCTCCAGGAGAGCCCTCCTTGCTGCTTCTGCTGACTTCTGGGGGGCCCTGGATGTCCCCATGGCTGTATCACCTCCATATTTATCTATTCTGTCTCCTCATCTGAGTTGGTGTAACTTCATCCTCCATCTCTCACCGGACACTGTCACTGGATTTAGAGCCCACAGGGAATCCAAGATGATCTCATCTCAAGATCCTTAATCATATCTGCCAGGATGCTGTTTCTGAGTAAAATCACATTCACAGGTTCCAGGGATTCAGAGTTGGCCATATATTTTGGGTTGGCCACCATATTTCATGTTCCTCATTATAGCTCCTGAGGTGAAATCCTACTGCCAGCACCCACCCACATCAGCTCTTTCTGGACCTTTCCTGTAGGAACTCTGAAAAGGCGGTGAGGGATAGAGAGATGCACACATGCACACACATACAAACATGCACACTCACACACAGGGGTGCACATATGTATATACACACACACATACTCACACACACAGTTGTGGATGCGCACATGCATGCATGCACACACTCGCGCACATGCGTGTACACACACACACACACCCTGTCTGTGTAGAAGAGGAGACCATTGCTTCTGTAAGGAGCCTGTAGACAGCAGTCACTGTAGAAGGAACAATATGCCTCCACCCAGAGGGAAAAGGAATCTCCCTCTACTCAATTAGTTCCCAAAATTATTCACAATAAAAGATTCTGTGAGTGATTTGGAATGATATTTAATAATTGATTGTAATTTCTCATAATTAGTTAGAAATTAATTCCCTCACAGAGGTATTTATTTATGAGCTTTCTGGGGGGCTCTCTTTGCTTTTAAATACTTTGGGGTAAGTAATTGCAAGGGATATTAGCAATTTACAAAGTATATTAGCATGTCAAGTTGTATAGTCTTTCATGAAGTGGAGTAAATAAGTCGCTTTTGTTTCCTGCTAAGACGTAAGAAGTCCTCAGCCAAGGTGGCTTCTCCCTGCGTAGTAACTGGAGACTCCACTCACTAATAGGCAGTGGCTAGAAGATGGAACGTGCCATCCCCAAGGGATGCTGGCTGCCCCCTTGGCTGTCTCAGAACACCCCAGACCTAGATGTATATTAATCATCTGACCCAGATCCCCACAGAATCAGGTTTCCTCAGGTGTCAGCCACAGCTTCCAGATTCTTCCTCCTTCCCAAGTATACAAACTTGCGACTCTCCTAGGACTTGCCTCAGGGTGCTCTGCAGGCTCAGGGCTCAGTGTGACCAAGCGCACATCCACGAACACTTGTGGATGGAAGACAAGCTTCCCTGGCTCGGTTCTGAAAGGCGAAATGGGGACCTGCTGCAGGAGATACAACTAGACCAGCTGACCTAAGCACCCAGCTCCTTTCTCTGTATGACTGCAATCACCACCATGTTGTAAAACTGGTGGCTTAGGCATTTTCTGTGCGTGTCTGTCATCTGTGGATGCATGTGTATATGTAGCCGTGAGCATGCAGAAGGCAGAGGTCACCCTCTGGCATTGTTCCTCACAAGCTGTCCACATTGGTCTTGGAGACAGTCTCCCATTAGTCCAGAACCTGCTGAGTAGGCTAGATTGGCTCGCAATGGAGCCCCAGGGATCTGTGCATCTTCACCTCCCCAGCCTGGGATGACAGGCACCTGACACTGTGCCTGGCTTTTTAAAATGTGGGTTCCTGAGATGAGACTTAAGCCCTCGAGCTTGCATGACAAGCACTTTGCCGACTCGCTGTCTCTCTAGCTCCTTAAGCAGTTCTTTTTAAAATTTAATTAAAATATAATTGCATCATTTTCCCCTTCCCTTTTCTCCCTCCAGCCTTCCTCATGTGTCTGCTGCCATTTCAAACTCATAGCATTGTTACATATGGGTGTATTCGTGCATACATATATCTATATATGAATGTTTATAGTCCTAAATATATAAACACAACCTGCTCGGTCTGTATGTTGCTTATATGTGTGTATGACTTCAAGGCTGACCACTTGGCATTGGATAACCAGCTGAGGAGACTATCCTTCTTTTGGTATTGCCTGGTTGTTTGTAGTTCCTTGTCTAGTGTCGTGGGTCCTGTGAGAGTTCTCCCTCCCCTCCATGTTAGCAAGCCTATGGGTGTCATCCTTGCTCCAATCCTTAGGTTTCTATAAGTAGACCTCACACTGGTGCTCAGACTCCTAGAGACAGGCTGTGTTTGGCTAAATTTTTGTGATTTCATGAAGACACCTACTCCAGTGTCTTCCAGCCTTTCCCTGTGCTCTTCTAGAACTTTCCCTCTAGATCTAACTTAACCCCAGAACCTAGAGAATGATGTGTTGTATTTTGATCACGCTGTTCTGAACAGACACAGAGGATCCTGTCTCTGTGGGACCAAGGAGATGTCATGATTCACATTCCCCACCAGACAACACTAGGGAAATAAGAGGCAGTACACAAAATGGGTCAGGGCACAGGCCAGGAGGCTACACTCACAGAATCTTACAAGTGGGAGTAGTGATTCCCCATCACAGTTCCACAGACCCATCTACATATCTGCCACCTCTGCTGCCCCCCCCCCCCACACCACCACCACCATGGTCACTCCTAGAAGGCTTCTATGGAATCAGGGCACACATCACTCTGACTCCCTGTTTGATGAAAGTTCCCCTAAGACAGGAAGTTTGGTGTAGCCTGGGCCAAAGGACTGGGGTTGCCCACTACTGAAGATTTCCTGGCGTTGGTGCAGCATCCTTTCATCTAGGGCCTTCTGCAAAGCCAGAGAGCATCCTTGAAGGCATTTGAGCCTCAGGGTATGCTCACCTGGTTGCTGGGTGATAGCATCCTTGCAAGGTGACATGGAGTAGAACATCTGAGCCTGTTAAGAGCAACTCGCAGCATGGAGACTTTCTTCATTTGGTTTCTACAGGAAGCAGATTTTAAAGTTTTTGGATGCAGAGAAGGATATTTCCGTCCTTAAGGGGACCCTGAAGCCCGGAGACATTATTCATTATATCTTTGATCGAGACAGCACAATGAACGTTTCCCAGAACCTCTACGAACTCCTTCCCAGAACCTCACCCCTGAAGAATAAGCATTTTCAGACTTGTGCCATCGTGGGCAACTCGGGGGTGTTGCTGAACAGCGGCTGTGGGCAGGAGATTGACACGCACAGCTTCGTCATAAGGTAACCAACCATCTGCGGCAAGGGTTTGGGCCCCGAGTGGCAGATATATTTAAGTCAGGTGGCTGAAACAAGACATATTTGTCAGGTGCCTCCTGTTCTCAACTTTCACTCCTTGTCATACTTGCTTTGGGGGAGCATTAGTGATCTGTCTCATCCCTGTACCCTAACATCTGACAAAAGCACCTTAAAGGAGCAAGGGCTTGTTTGCACACGTGGTCTGAGGGTCCATCATGATGGAGAAGGCGTGACATAAGATCACATCTGCAGTTAAGAAACAGAGATAAATGTCTGTGCTCAGCTCCTTTCTCCCCTTCTTATTCAGCCTGGAGACCCAGCCCTTAGGATGGAACAACAACATTCGGGGCGGGGCTTACTTCTTCAGTCAAACCTCTCTGAAAAGTTCCTCAAAGTCATATCCAAAGGTGTGTCTCCCAGGGGATTCTAAATTCAATCAGATTGACAATGAAGATTCATCACAGGGATCCTTATTTCCGATCAGAATGCACATCTAATCTATTAAGTCACTACAGGGACAGGACAGGAGCATTGTGTGACCCAGAGAGTCCAGGTGATTCTGGATTATAAGGTTGGGCCTCAGAAAGAAGAGTTCAGAGGTGGGCAGACTATGGCCCTCCATATGCTTTGTAAATAAAACTTTATTATAACACAGCCACTCAGGCCCACCCTCATCCTTTTAGCTTTCTGGGCAAAGCTGGGATGTTTTGCTAAAGGAATACAGAGTGCACACAGCCTGCAAAGTTGAATATATTTGTTGTTTGGCCCTTACAGAAAGGGCTTGTTCTCTGAACACTAGACAGATCCTGGCACAAAGGGGATTAAGAAAATCTGGATGGGTAGTTCCTGTGCCGGGGCCATAAAGGTCTTCCCAGTATTCTGGAAGGCGTATTCTACCTGTAACTTTAGTATCCTGTAGTCAAAACCTAGGAAATGAAGAGTGATAAAGAAACTCAACAGCCATTTTCTCTGTGACATCAGCTCTTGTTTTGCCATCACTGGGGACATTGTGACAGTTACCCATAGACCTGACACCTAACCCTCGAGCCATACAAACTCAGAAACAAGGTATCGCTGTCTTCTAGACAAAAGTAGGACACATGGTGCCTCAAGTTTCATCCCAAAGTGCTCCCAGCCCTGGCAGAAATGTGTGCCGCATCTCATATTGCTGTTAGGACTGCCCTTGTGCAAAGAGAATCTCTCCTTCTGGGGTTTTGGGAGCATCATGACCAGCGAGTTCCCTGAACCTGAGGACATGGGAAGAAATGAGTATAATCACTCCTGCATCCCCTGAGACTGGAGATGCTACAATAGCCTGGGTACCAGTTACTTCTTTTTTGTTCCCCCTGACCAGGTCTCTCTGTGGCTAGCAGAGCCAATAGCTCTTATCCCTACGTTTCTAAGCCCTCCAGTCTAAAGAGAGGGTCTGAAAAAGAAAAGAAAGGAAAATGTGTGGAACTTGTCTGATTGGAAGCCAGAGAGGTGACGGATATGAGCACGGCTGTTAAAATGGAGGGCACGGGGCAAAGCCTCCTCCAGGGTCAGCTCTCCTCCAGGGTCAGCCAGCCAGCAGTGAAGAAATCTCTCCAACCTCATATAACTCTTGGAGGACAGGCAGAGTAATGCGTTTCGACGGTCAGCTTCCCAAGCCACACTAAGCCCCACTCCTAACTGTGGAGAAAAGATTCACCCTGCAGATGTTTGGCCTTCTCCTATGAGCTGGATTCCCAAAAGAATTTCTAGAAGTCGTGGCCAGGGTCAGCCCATAGTTCCCAGTGTGGGTTCTGAAGCTCAGTCTTGGCTCCAATGACCACTTGTCAAGTAACTTGGAGTAGAACACTCCCATTTCCTGGGCCTCGGTTTCATCTGTGAAATGTTTGGGTTGCAATAGCTGATTCTAAGGTCGTCCCGTGATGAAGCCTCTCCAGATGCTAAGCCAGCTTTCTCCACACTTCAATGGGGATGCATGCCTGTTGCCTTATTGAAATACAGAGACGTGAGATATGAAGTAAGCCTGAGTCTCTGGGTTTCCCACAAGACCATGGTGGGGGGGGGGGTTATGCATGATGTGGCAACGAATTATATGCAAGATGCAACCGTGAATGCATGCAAGATGCACAGAGAGAGCCTAGGCTTCAGCATGCTCTGCTGACCCCATATCCACAAGCACACTTCCACTCAAACACACAATCACACATGATGTCATGAATGTTAGATGAAGTAACACACGTGGGCATGCCCTGTGTCCCCCACATGATAGGACACCGAGTATTCATTCTCTATAAACCCTGTGTCTCCACTGTACTACCTTACCCCCAGACAGCGAGCTCCTGAAATGATAGGAGTTTTTGTGGCTGTGCCTTGATTTCCAGGTCCTGGTGTGCCTAGCACACAGCAGGGCTCCACAGGCCTGCATGCCAATGCCAAATACTGAAACAGTCCCTCCTAACGGATGCCTGTCTCCACCTATCAAAGTCTGCAAAATTAGTTTTCCTCATTTATGTTTCTGCCCCACTCTATGTGAGGAACACACAGGACATGGCCACTTTCTCAGAAAACTACTGGGGAACAGGACCCCAGAAGCCCTAGTAGGTCTCAAGACTCGTGGAACAGAGTGAACTTGCAGTGTGCACCACCTCCCACAAGGAAGAGCAGACCACAAGGGGAAGGATGGGGAAGCAAATCCGGGAGGCTATATTGAGCAGATGCTGGTTACACGCCAGCTTCTGGGAACAGAGATGGCCGGGACAGCTAGGCCTGAGAGGATGACACAAGACTACAATGCCAGGATGAGGAGAGATGCCATTCTCAGCTTCCTTCTTAGCAACACACACACGTGCACACACACACACATACACACACGGGGAAATCACCATCAGCATAGACCCTTTAGATAGGCTGTCCCCTCAGCGCGTTAGTAATAGCATGTTCATGGCACCTGGTGTTGGTCTGTGCTCACCTATGAGTTTATTTAACTCTCAGCACTGTCCTTCCCAGTGAGGAAACTGAGGCACGGATGGCCCAGATCCTGGTGACTAGCTACACAGTAGGGTTAGGCTGTGGAGCTGGCAGCCTGGCTTCGAAGCCAAACTGCTCCCCTCATCTTGAGGCTTACTCCACACGTACCTATGGATACAGTTATTTCTGAAAGGGGCCAGTTCCCTTCCTGCCAGAAACCAGGCCTGCCTGCTCTGCAGCTTCTTCTCCTAGAATTCTCTTTGAACGAGAGCGCCTCTGCCAGAGCCAAAGTCAGAAAGGACTTGACTCCACTTAAATGAAAAAAAAAAAAAATCATGTATTCTATGTCAGTGGGAAGAAACATTCAGAGGCCACACGTGTCTCAACTGCTCACCCCCCCCACGAATCGCCCCCACACATGCCTAGTGGCAATGTCCTCACTAAGACATATCACTGGGCAAGCTTGAGTCCCACAGACCCCCCAACTTCCCACCCCAACCCCATGTAGGTTGTGAAGCCACTGCTGTGAACTGCCCTGCCCTTAGAGGGCACAAATACCCTGATGTCTCTTCCAGCAAAGGTCTATTTGGTCCTTATGTTAGTAATCAGTCAGTGTGTTCCCCACCACCTGAGCAGCCCTCAAATCTGCTTGACACCCACTCAACCTGTGCTGTCTCCTTCGCCCCGTTACAGTTAGCAGTGGTGATCTCCAGTGAGCCTGACCGGGGGGGGGGGGGGGGGGGGGGATTTAATCAGCCAAGTTTTGGAAGCCTGGCTCAGCTGGACTTGGAGTAAGCGGGAGATATGGGTGGCCCCAGGCAGGCCACTGTGCTGAAAGTATCTCCCACTCTCTGTGGCATGGAGCAGGAGCATCTGAAGAGGTCCCCGGCATTTCTTGCCCCAATAAGATTTAGCCATAGCCGGAGAAGGCAAAGCTGAGGCAAGGGATGGAGACGAGGTGTTGGGTGGGGTGAGGCTCCCAAGAGATTACAAGCTTCCAAATCCTACTAGTTCCCTTCCTGGCTCAGGGAGTTTGGGCAAGTTAATAGGTAGCTGAGGACTTCCTTCCTCTGTCTCTAAAATGGGGTTATTAATACAAGTTCACAGTAAAAATGAACTGACCTGTAGGAGGGAGAAAATACTAGTCAAGTGGCCAGTGTAGCCCAGGACTCAGCAAGGCCAGTGTGCTATCCACTGAACTGGCTTTCTTCCCCAGGCAAAGAAGAGAGGTTGTTGCTTAAAGGCAAATGGTGTCTGCGTTACACTGTGAAGCTAACACACCGGCAGCCTCCACACTGCACATACTTGCTCTGGGTTCTCCATTAATTCCCACTGATCCAAAGATCGTTCTTCCCATCCAGGTCTCCAGGGAAGACAGTAAGCGCTTCCTGCCTGCAGACTCAGTCCCAGGGGCCCTTTGACATCTGGGCCAGAACTCTGGAGGAAGGGACCCAAGGCGGTCCTTCGGGGAATAGGCAGGCTGACTGGTTCAGCAAGGAGATAGCAGGATACAGATCAGCCCATTTGCTCTTTCCCTCAGCACCCTTCGGATGGCTTCCTACTGCCTTCGGTGACAAGCCCTTGCATATCCAGCCTCTGAGGTCTTATCTAACATTCCTCTTGTTCCCTGTCTCACCGATGGAATCCGTGCTAGTCAGACCAATTCATGTCCCTCCTCTGAACACCCATACTGCTTCACATTCCCTACCCTCGGGCAAATTTCCTGTGCCTCAAATTTCATAGCATCGTGGGTTTTTTTTTAAAAGTTGCTTAGAACCCAAAGAGGAAGAGATTTTTTCGAAAGTATATGTATGCACATGCATATACATACATACATATAAATTCCTAAGCTCTGAGGCTTGCTGAATCAGGACCTGGGGAATCCTATTTTTAACAAGTCTCTGTGGGAATCTTCTGACTTTACAAACTAGAGACCAGCTCTTCTTCCGTCGCTATCCGCCACTGCTCTTTTGCTCATCCGTCCTTTAGATTTCCCTCCCCGCTCTGACACCTGATAGTCTCCTACCCCCAATAGAAACATGACAGCACTTACCATGGGCTATGTTCTCCTTATGGTCCAGGAGCATCCCGAGTACCCACTGTTCTTGTGGTCTCTGCCACCAGCCAAAGTCATGGAAGCCTCGCGGGAAGCGCAGAGAGGCTGAGAAAGTCACCACACAGGTAGAGAGTGTCAGATCCGAGTATTGAACCTGGAAATCTGTCTTCTGAGTCTCCACTCTAAGGTGTCACCTAATGGGCCAGGACACACCTACTAAGAGCCACCTCGTTGTGGGGGCTGAGGGCCAGCACTGTGCTTCCTCTTTTAGATACTGACCTCCAGTGGCATTTTGTGTTTAAGGATATGACAGGGGTTCAGTAAACATTGAGACAGGAAGAAAGAGATAGGAAACGCTTGGGACCAATCAAGTACCCATGATGCATCCATGAGGAGAAAGAAAGAAGCAAGAAGGAGCTGGAGAGATGGCTCAGCGGTTAAGAGCACTGCCTGTTCTTCCAAAGGTCCTGAGTTCGATTCCCAGCAACCACATGGTGGCTCACAGCCATCTGTAATGATATCTGGTGCCCTCTTCTGGCCTCAGGCATACATGCAGACAGAATACTGAGAATACTGTACACATAATAAATAAATAGATCTTTTAAAAAAGAAAAAAAGAAAGAAAGAAGCAAGAAGAGGCAGAGGGCAGGGTAAAGTTCATGTCAGAAGGACCATCCCAAATGACCAGGTTGCCTTTTACCCCTCAGGTGCAACCTGGCTCCAGTTCAGGAGTATGCCCGGGACGTGGGCCTCAAGACAGACCTAGTGACTATGAACCCCTCAGTCATCCAGCGGGCCTTTGAGGACCTGGTGAACGCCACGTGGCGGGAGAAGCTGCTGCAGCGGCTGCATGGCCTCAACGGCAGCATCCTGTGGATCCCTGCCTTTATGGCCCGGGGCGGCAAAGAACGTGTGGAGTGGGTCAACGCTCTCATCCTGAAGCATCATGTCAACGTCCGCACGGCCTACCCTTCCCTGCGCCTGCTGCACGCAGTCCGAGGGTGAGTGCGGCATCGGAGGGTTGGGTGTGAGTGGTAAACAGGGCTGCCTCTCAGATGCGCTTCCATCTCCACACCGTTAGTTGAATGCTCTTAGCGAGCTTCCTGGCCTTTCTGGAAGCTCTATCAGCAATGAGGGCGGTTGGCAGATGGGTTTCATCTGGGTGAGCTCCCTACTCCCTGTGCTCTTAAGAAAGTAATTGGAGGTTGTTTTGAGGCTCGATGTGAACAGATGCAATGGACTTGGGGAGGAAGATGATGACAGGTATTGTCACATACCCGCCGTCTCAGGTAGGTGGTTTCCACCAGGAGCAAATGGCTTTGACTTCAACATGTCACCCGAAGCACTGTAGACTTTAATTTCCTCATCAGTAATCGGGAGTGGGAAGGGTAACATTGCCGGAGTGTAAAGACTAAATGGAATAACATCTGGACAGCAACTAATACAGATGCACTGTCATTGTAAACACTGTTGTCTCCACCATCCTTGATCCTTGTACTAAGCTCTGGGTCCAGTCCCCAGCACTGCACAACCAGGGTGTGGTGACTGAAAGCTCTGGAGGGAGGCAGGAGGATCAGAGAAGTTCAAGGTCATTCTCAGCAACAAAGTGAGTTTAAGGCCTGCTTGGGCTGCATGAGACCCTGTCTCAAAACAGTAAAAAAAAAAAAAAAAAAATTTAAAAATTGATTAAACCCACATTGAACCAGTTGGGCTTTTCAGCAGCCCAGCCAGACTGGTAATTCCTAACTTCCTGCTTATTTCTTCCCAACTGTGAGACCAGGCACAGGCCCACTCCCCAGGGCTCTGGGCCAGGAGACTTCCTGGGGTCACAAATTGGGTCACAGCAAGCAGCGGAGCTGGATGGTAAGCCCTCATTCCCTTGGTTCCAGTTATCTATGACAGGGTCAGAAGTCACCCCCAAATCTTAGAATCCTGAAAAAAACAGTACCTGTGTTTTTCCTAATTGCTGTTAGTTGGGAACTCAGGAATAGTTTGTCTGGATGGTTCTGGGCAAAGGTGCAGTCTGATGGTGGCTGGGGACAGAGCACTGGGGACAGATGGTATTGAATGCATCTCTGGTTACATCATTTTGGGGTCAGAGCTTAAGCACATGTGTGGATGGTGGTACTATATTCTAGCATATGAGAGAATCTACGGAAACCTAGGTGGTGAGGCGGGAGAGAGTAGGTTTTGAAGACTTGGGTACCTGCCTAGATATAGATTTGATATGTCTGTCAGGAATATGTATCACCTACTGACCTATCCAACTGTCCACCCAACCAATGGGCCAATCACAGCCCTACTCCAAAGACAGTGGATGCTCCCCAGAACTTATTTCTTGCCAACTGAGGCACATGGCAATGCTCCAAGGTGGCACCTCAACATAATAACTGGAAAGCCATCTGAATCCCCTTCATAGACCCCATGCTCGTGAATAAAAGATGACCCTAAGACATTCATGGCTATGACCAAAATTGGACGTATTTTGTTATGTGTGATCACAGGGAATATCCTGGTCCCAAGACAGATCTCAAGAAACAAACCACAAGGGTAACCACATTCGAGGGTGGAAGGACAGAGTGACCCCTGTTCCAGAGGGACACAGAGGCCCCAGGGAACCTCTTCAGCATCTTTTCACTGAGTTCTGTCAGAGTGGGCCTGTCAGAGTAACCTCGCTCTCTGGGGCTTAGGCCCCAAGCCTTGAAGGCCTTTTATTCCTAGAAGGAGGCCCCTCCTGAGTTGATTTGGAGGTTCTGGAAGATAACCTGGGGCAGACAACTTTTGCAACAAGAGCAAAAGTCCTTTGGATGGGCCAGGCAGCCACCTGGAAGAAACCTCTGCAGCCAGAGCTATTTTTAGCTATAATTGACTCACTTTCATCTGTCAAAATAGCATTAAGCTGCAGTAATGAGCCCTTTAAACAAACAGGCTGTTGATCCCAGGGAAGAAGGCAGCTCTCTCTGCCAGCAGTCCAAGAGGGAATACTGCAGGAGCAACAGGTGGGCTGCCCCACCTCCAGCTCTGAGCCAGGAGAGGAGGGAAAAGAAAAGATGCCTTGGGGTGAGAAAGTGGGCAGCCTGTGTCCCTGGGAAAGGACTTGCCTCCATCTCTGGCCTTACCTGGGGTTCACTGAAAAAATGAAAGAACATATTTGCAGGGGGTGCAGAGTGAAATCGTGAGAGAAATGTCCAAGGGATGGTGGAGAAGAAGGCAGGGGACCGACTGTGTATAAATGATGATCAATTGGGGAAGTGAAAAAAAAAACCTATAGAATAGGCAGAAATATTTGGAGGTAGTAAGTTTGGTGAGGGATGAACATCCAGGACCTGTAAAGAACTCCTACAGCGTTAACAGCAGAAGCACAAACAACCCAATTCAGAAAATGGGAGAAGGATTTGAATAGACACTTCTTCACAGAAGACACGCAATTGGATAATTAGCATATGACAAGCCATTCAGGATTGCAGATGACTGCAGAGAGCATAAAACCACAGCGGGGTACCACTTCTCACCTAGAAGCATAGCTGTCATCAAACAAATTAATAAAGTGGCCAGAAGACAACACACGTCTGTGGGGACCTGGAGAATCGGGCACTCTCGCACGGCTGGTGAGGATCTCCAAGGAGAGGCAACTTTTGAGGCATGCCAGTATCTTCGCTTATTAATGCTCAGGAACGTCCGGTGATCCATACAAGGTGACCCAGTCAGTAAGCCGCACAACCAAGAATAGACTCGTGCCATCTGCCTCCCAGTGTATCAGGTGCAGTGGGGATTTGTGCCTCTTCATGTCCAGATCTGCAGGGGCCGGAGAAGATCAGTGGGCCTGGGAGCATCGCCCTGGCATAGAGATTCTGTGTCCACATAACAGTTATCCAGGGCCTGGGGCAGCTTTCCCAACAGTCAGGACAAGGTGAACTGTCCAAACACTTCAGAGTCGCAACCCACATAATAGCATCTAGTGGGATACTATCTTCTTAAAACCTTCTTATCCCTGGACCAGATGGGTTTGTCTTCCCTGACTCACCTGGCTGTTTCTTTGCACATGAGACAGCCTTCTGAAGAGAAGCAAACATGCGTAGACGTCACCAGTTCCATCACACATTCTGAATGTGCTGTGGCGGAACCGAAATGAAAAACGGAAAAATAGATGTGGGGCACAATGCTAGCATAGCTACTATGCTTAGGGGCCAGACGCCATGCTGAGCCTTGTCCCATGTAATCACAAGACTAGACTTAGTCCCATTATCCCCATTTTAAAGATGGAAAAACTGAGCCTCATAGAGTAACCCATTTGCCCAAGGCCGCCTCGTAAGGGACAGATTCTGGACTCTTCCATTGCTCTTCATCAGCTTCTGCTTACTTCTAGTGCACGTGACCAGGAAACGGCAAAGGAACTCTAGAAGAATAAAGTCAAGACTACCAAAGCCAAAATGGGCTTCGCTTGTAGAAGTAGTAAGAGAAGCAATAACAGCGCCAAAAAAAAAAAGTGCATTATCTTTCAGGCAGACAACAAAACAAACAAGCAAACAATAGAGGAAGATGTTACTGAGGCTACCAAGGACAAAGATAGGCTGGGAGTGTGGTACTCTTGCTTTGCATACGTGAAGCTCTGGGTTCAATCCCCAGCACTACCAAAAGACAATAAAAACAAAATGCAGAGGTAAAACAAAACCCTCCACTCCTGTTTTCTCCGCAAAGACGGTGGTGGTGGATCTGTGGCCTGGACAAAGTGAGGTGATCTTTGATCCCTGACCTGCAGTTCCATTTGCTGCCCCAGCGGCTCTCGATGTAAACCCTGGATGAACAGCATCAGCATCACCTGGGTGTTTGTTAGCGAGGCAGAATGCTCACATCACCTCAGACGCTCAGAACCGCAAGGCGTAGGAAAACGTACACCAATCTATGTTTTAACAGGTCCGCCTGATTCTGGTGCATGGCTTAAATTTCAGAACTGTTGCCATCAATAAATGAAGACCAGTTGACACCACAATTTTAGGTCCTCTGAGCCGCTGACCGTGGCCTCTTCTAAACTGAGCTGCACCGGAAGGACAATGGGGGCAGTCCTCTTGACTCTGATTTGTTTTTAGATATGGGAAAACTACAGACACCTGTGAGCCCAGTTTAGGAAGATTATCCATCCAGGGATTCATAAGAGAGGTAGAAAGAAACATTGCAAGTAGGAGTGCTCACCAGAAAATATCACGGTTTGCTGTCCCAGGGTCCCTGGTTGTAGGGAGAGCAGACAGGTATGTGCCATCTGCGTAGTCCCTTTATTTACCCAGAGTATCGGTCAGCTGTGGTGATGAGGCTCTTCGTGGCAACTAAAAGAGCTGTGTGCGGCCTGTTTAACAATCAGGAGAATAAAAGGGGCAAATGTTAGCTTTCTGCTGGAACAGCCTTGTGGATAGGATACCTTTAACCCAGAAGGAAATCAAGACTCAGATGTTAGGAAAAGTGTCTCTCTTACAGATGAGAAGAGAGGAGCCAGAGTTGGTCTCTGCCTATATAAGATTGAGATGTCTACATATCCTGCCACCACCTCCCCATAGCCATGCCGGACCGACCAACCATTCTCCACCTACCCATCCACCGACCCTTTGAGCATGCCCATTCATCATATACATTTATGTTGACCTTATCGAGACCTCTGCGACCCTGGCAGCCAGGCTCAGACCCTGTCTCCGTTTTTGCCAGTGGCTCCCTTAGCAAATTCACAAGTGAGATGATCTCAGTATTCAGAGTCTCAGAGTGAAACCTAAGCCAATCAGAGGGAAGAAACTGAGAATTCTGACAAATCCCAAACTCTCCAGCGAGGCAGAAAACAATGGTGACTTGAAACTGAGTGGATGGATGGATACCCCCAAAGGTTCCCATGCTCTCTGGGCACAGCAAAGGATGTTTTGACATCTTTTACGTGGTAGGTAGGTCAGGGATCGCTTTGTTACTCTGCGTGGCCAGATCCCACTTGAAGAGTCACATGCACTTGGGGGTACCCAACTGC